GAGGTGAAGGGAGAGGAGAAGGTGGTGGCATATGCGAGTAGGAGCTGTAACTCGGCAGAGGCACAGTACAGCTCCTACATAGGGGAAAGATTGGCAGCTGTATGGGCTGTGGGGCACTTCAGGTTGTACCTGCAGGGAAGAGAGCTCACCTTGGTAACGGATCACCAGCCCTTGACGTGGCTGATGACAACACCGGGGTTGAGGGGCAGGAATGCACTGTGGGCCATGAAGCTGCAGGAGTATGACTTCAAAATCAAGCACAGGCCGGGAAAGACATTGCAGCATGTGGACGGTCTCTCTCGGAACACCCCACTGCAGGAGCCCACCGTAACCCTGACACTGCTGGCCAGGCTGGTGGAGATGAATGGAGCCAAGGGACAGAAGGGGCCAGCAGATACTTGGGAGGATGGACCAGCCATGCGGTGGGTGAAAGGAGAGACAGGAGAGGACGAGGAGCTGACAGCGCGGGTGAGGGCAAGGGGACAGCACTACAGGTGGTATCAGCAGCAGTTGCAGGTGCAGACAGAGGACGGATGGAAGCTGGTACCAGCGCCAAGCGAGAGGGAATCAGTAATCAAGGAGGTACATACAAAGCTGGGACACTTTGGGCACGAGAGAGCGGTGCAGCTGTTGAAAACAGGATGGTGGTGGGAAGGGATGCGGAAGCAAGTAAAGGGGTGGGTGGAAGGCTGTGAGGCATGCCAGAGGAGCAGGGCAAACCTAACACAAGCCAAGGCTGCGTTGCAGTCTCTTCCCATCCGAGGCCTAGGGTTCAGATGGTCCTTGGACCTGGCGGGGGAGCTGCCGCTAAGCCGGGGGGGGGAAGCAGTATATTGTGCTTATGGTGGAGCACGTGAGCAAGTGGCTGGAGGTGAGGGCTATTCCGAGCAAGAGCTCTAGGCACGTGGAAGCAGCGTTCAAGGAGCAGGTGATATGCAGGTTCGGGGCATGTGCCGAGGTCCTCACAGACCAGGGAACCGAGATCCAAGGGGAGTTCAAGAAGCTGCTGGAGGAGACAGGGATCACCCACAGGCGCACTTCGCGGTACCACCCATAGAGTGATGGGCTGACCGAGCGCCTGGTGCAAACCCTGAAGCGGGGACTGCGAGCATATGGGGAGAAGAGGAAGCGCGATTGGGATGAGGAGCTGCACTGGATTGCAGCAGGGTACAGGTTTGGGAAACAGGCGGCCCTAAGAGATCACTCTCCATACAGTCTCTTATATGGATGTGAACCGCTGCTGCCGGTGGGAGCAACCCGGGTCCTCACAGACACAGCGACAGCAGGCACCATAGAGAACTGGGTGGCTTTGTCAGAGGCCAGGGCAAGGTACCTGCGGGTCATGATGCTGGCTGCCTTGGAAAACCTCCACACCGCACAACTAAGAGATGCTCGGCGCTACGAGCAGCGACAGCAGCAAGGGGCGGGGGGAAGAGCAAAGAAAGGAGTGAGTCAGGGGCAGGAGGTGTACCTGAAACGGGCAAAGCAAGACACCCTGGATGTCGGGGTGGGCTCTGAGCGGTGGAGAGTGAAGGAGGTCCGTCCCTCGGGGGTACTGATGTTGGAAAATGAGAAGGGGGCAGTTCTGAAGGAGCACCAGAGTAACACAGCCATGGTGAAAGGGGGTCAGCCTCAGCAGGTTGGCCCTGTGACACGAGCTCAAGCAGCTCGAGCACGAGCACAGGAGGGGGCAGTGGGTGAGTGAGGCCAGACCACACGGAGAACGGAGAAACAAGAGAGACAGCAGGAGAAGAGCAGGTGCAGGAGAAGAATAGGGGGTAGGAGGAAGGTTTTCTGACAGCTGTCACAGCATATGCACCTAATGCATATGCCATAACAGTAGGGTGAGGGTATTGGCAGGGCTCTAGGTTGCTAGCACAGGAAGAATAGTTGGAGATGAGTAGAAATAGGCTGAAGGTGTAGAATGTGTAGAATGTAGCGAGAAGACTGTTTAGAATGGGGTGTAGAAGGGGGGAAACGGGATAAGAGCGGTTGGGATAAAAAGGGGGAAAAGACACCGAAGGGCGAAATGTGAAACCACTCCATCCCAAACCCCGAGCCGCACATTTGGAAATGTGCAGCCTGGGGTTGGGTAAGGGCACTCACGTCCAACCCCTTGATGCTTTTGCGATTGTAATTCTCTCGAACTAGTGAAAGTTGCTATCTTCGCTCTAGCACACTTAGGCACGTCACTAAGAGGGAACCTACGGGGTGAGGGACTAAGTCTTTCATTACAATTGCAAAAGGGAGCAGTAATGAGCAGAGTAGATATGGATAAGTACGAATTGCGTTGGGGTAGGATGTTCAGCCGCCGGGAGGAGGAACGGCCGCGACGCGAGCCATCACGTGAACGAGGGCGGTCATTGGAGCGATCGCCGCGCCGCCCGGCCTTTCGCGCAGATCGAATCCCTCTCGCACAGGACCGTCGAGAAGAAGGATCGACGGGCGTGGGAGCAGGCAACAACGGGCACGGCGGTGGCATGGATAGAGACGCGTGGCTGCGAGAGAGAGAACGCGGACCTGGCGAGGACCGTGGAACCCGCCGCGACGCAGGAGTGTTCCGCTCTCCGGAAGAGCGAGAGCGGTGCCGGGATGAGAGAGGCCGTTGGCGAGGCTTCGGGGAAAGTCCCCGAGGACGGGGAACGTCCCCGGGGACGGGGAGGAGACATGGGTGGCGACGACCAAGTGGGGATCCTGCAAGAGAACGCGGCACAGGACGTGGCAGCGGAGCAGGGCGCGGAAGAAGATGAGGAGCACCCGGGGCTGCAGGTCGAGGAGGCCGATGAAGGAAATGACGGCGGCGACCAGGCAGCGGGAACGGGTGAGGCTGAACCCGCGCAGGCAGACAAGAGCGCTGGCGCGAGCCAGGCGGCAGCCAAAGAATCGAGGGCCACGCCGCGGGAAGCGCGCGACCGAGACGTCTGCCGTGGGGAAGAGCGGCGCGCGGAGGGCTCACTGCGCCAGGAGCGAGTGATGCCAAATGACGGCGTTCGAGCTGCACTGGCGCAGAGGCTGCCTGGCAAGGGGAAGGCAGAGCGGTCGCGCACGCCAGAGAAGGATCCGCACCATGGAGAATGGCACGTAGGCGACTTCTGCCCGTATGGTAGGCGACAGGAGCAGGACGGCTGGAGCGGCGGCGGCGAGCGTTCGCCAGAACAGCAGCGAGCGTGCGGTGGCAGAAGGAAGGATGAGTCGCGCTCACCTGAGCCGCACGGGCGCCAGGAAGGAAGGCACGGGGAGGAGCGGGGGTCACAGGAGCGCCGCGGTGAGCAGCATAGGGAACGCAGCGGCATGGGGCGCTCGTCGGGTCGGCCGAGGCGGAGAGAAGAGAGGGATAGTAGCGGGTCCCGCTCGCCCGAGTGGCGCCGCCCGCGGAGGGAGAGGTACGGAAAAGAAAGGCACTCGCCAGAGCGCCACCAGCAGCGCAGCAAGAAGGAAGGCACCTGGTCACCGTCACCAGAGAAGCGGCAGCAGCGCGACATCAGGAGGTGGGAAGGGTAGAGGACGCACGACCCGCCCACGCAGCAATGGGGATGGGCGGAAGAGTGGGCAGGGCCGAGGGAAAGGCGCCGCGGGGTGGAAGGGAGCCGCCAAGAGAGCAGAGCTGTGAGGCCAGACCACACGGAGAACGGAGAAACAAGAGAGACAGCAGGAGAAGAGCAGGTGCAGGAGAAGAATAGGGGGTAGGAAGAAGGTTCTCCGACATCATCGGCGTCACCGTCATCCTCGGAGGGGGACATGCCCTTGTCCTCCTCCTCGCCAGAGTCCGCGTCGTCGTCGCAGGCGTCGTCACACTCGTCGTCATCGAAGGCAGCATCGTCCACGACGCGGGATGATGCAACCCGGTCAGCATCACAGCGTCCGCGGGTTGGGACATTACGCGGGGCTTCGTAAGAAGTATCCCCCGTACCAGGCGCTCCTTCGGGCAACGGGCCGACGGGCTTGCGGCCGGCTGCGATCTGCTTGTTCATCCAAGTGATGTACGGGATCTCGTTGAGATCGGGCACACGTCAGTCGTACTAGCTACGCTCTTGCGCTTACAGGCCATGGCTACGGCGTGAGACAAAACGGTGGCTGGACTACGCAACAAGAAAGAGCAAGGTGGGGTTTGGAGAAGAAGAGATTGGTGAGGGAGTGCTGTCAGCGGGGTTGGAAAGGTGAGCACAGTCGGGCAAGGATGTGACCGTGAGGGCTGGAGCACCAGTCATTTGTCTGCCCGGGCAGAGCGGTTTCTTTTCCCGCTCGAAAACGGGCCCGATTCGGGCGTCCATATGCATGCGGTACAGCAAGAGATTTCGACACGCGTGCGATTTTCAGAAGGTGACGGGGCCTCATGTAACTCGTCCGCGACACCCGCGCAATTCACGCCAACCAATGTAAAATACAGTGAAAATCGCATTAGTGCGATCCGCGTTTGTGACGTAGTACAGTATATGCTGTTTTGGCGTGTCACAAAGTGATTGAGACACAAGTGTCCCCGCAGGAATGTACCCTAAGTTACTTAGATTCTGAGAGGGAGGACTAAGGTAGGACGGATGGTGGGTGAAGCTAGGGTCCTAGGAGCTAATGGGCAACGATACCATCTCATACCGTAATTGGAACAGCGGAATGGTGTGAAGGCAGCAGGGTGAGACAAATAGGCAAACCTAATGCGTTGTACCCTATACAATGTACCTCACTGTAGCCTAACAACCTAACACAAATATATACAATAGTTTAACATCATGGTTTCAGACGGAGCATCACAATTAATCATGAATAACTCTTGTGACGCGAGTTCTGAAGACACATCAACATAAGAATGCCCCCTTACGTCACAGACCGCCAGGTGCATGATTTAGGGGAATTCTGATTCTTCTGTATCATTAGACGATTGGGTTGGGTACCCTTTAATACACTTGTATAAGAACCAGGGCATGGCTCATTTGTCCATGCTGGTTACTGTACACCACACAACCCAGATTGATCTCATCAATTTGAGTCTTGCCTTGCACCCCTCCCTAATGTTCAATTTTCATCTGCTCAAAGCGGTCAAACAGAGGCTTGGGGATGGTGTGCGAAACGTTGTTGAACGGGATTTCTAGGTCCAGTGCATAAAGCTTCTTCACCCGCTCGTATGTTTCCTGCAGCGGGTGCACAAAACAAACAAGACTGCATATGGGCCAGCCAGTTGACGGATACCGTGTACACATTGCTGGTACTTGCACAGCATAGCAGGCACGAGATGGCAGCATACCACAAAAAGGGTGACTGGCCGAAACAAGGGAGGAACCAATGAAGCTGGTGGAAAGGAGCTCGCGCATACAAAGAGGAGGCAGGCAAGGCCAGTTAATCACTTTGTCATCCCAATTCGCGAGCTTCACATCAAACTTGACCTGATGATTCTTTGAGTCGACTCTAAGGTCACCTCGTATCTACCGAGGAAATGCAGAGGCTACAGGAAAGCAGCTAATGTACACAACGAAGAGGCAGGCAAGGCTGGAAACTTACTTTATCATACATCTTCACGAGCTTCTCGTCGGCGCGGGTCTGGTGCGCGTTGACGCCGAAGTTGAAGATGTCGAGATGGTCGCCTCCGAATCGGTTCACCACATACTTGGCATCCTCCTCCAGACTCTCAAACCGCCCCACAAAGTCGTACTTGATCAGCCCCAGCGCACACACGTCCCTCTGCACACATGCATGGGAGCATATGTGTGGGTAGATACATACATGCACACATGCACGCCATGTGAAATCCACACATGGAAAATGCACACATGAGAGCAGGCACGAGCCGGTGGATTTGCTTCTGCTGGAACCGCATGCCCCCTCGCACATGCCCCCTCGCACATGCCCCCTCGCACATGCCCCCTCGCACATGCCCCCTCGCACGTGCCCCCTCGCACATGCCCCTTGTTATACATCTTCACCTTGTCATACATCTTCACAAGCTTCACCAAGCCAGCCCACCCACAGGTGATGTGGCGGTCCATGTGCCACCCACCTGCAGGGTGATGTGGCGGTCCATGTGCCACCCACCTGCAGGGCGATGTGGCGGTCCATGTGCCACCCACCTGCAGGGCGATGTGGCGGTCCATGTGCCACCCACCTGCAGGGCGATGTGGCGGTCCATGTGCCACCCACCTGCAGGGCGATGTGGCGGTCCATGTGCCAGCGCCTCTCCTTGAAGACGAGGCCCACGAGCTTCACAAAGTCGTGGAATGACACCAAGTCGTCCTCCTTCTTCACTGCCTCCCACTGCGCCCGAATCAGCCTGAAAAACGCCTGCAAGTGGGGAGAGGAGCAGGGGGAGGAGGTTAGGGGACCGGAAGAAGCATGGGGAAGCATGCTGCCTGCCTGCCCTCCCACTAGAAAGCCCATCTCACCACAACAGCTCACATTGTTCCGATCAGAAAAGGATAGCCTTGGCTCACGTTATTCCAGTACTCTCTTGAACCCCGGCCAGTCGTGTTGTTAGGGGCGTCAGTGAGGACCAGCTTGCTGTTGTACGCTGAGAGGGCACGTGAGGGCAAGCACAAGCGGCCAGCAACAGGCAGGGGGCAGCAGAGCTCAACCCACAGGCAAGTCTCACATGGTTCCAGTACTCACATGGTTCCAGTACTCACATGGTTCCAGTGCTCACATGGTTCCAGTACTCACATGGTTCCAGTACTCACATGGTTCCAGTGCTCACATGGTTCCAGTACTCACATGGTTCCAGTGCTCACATGGTTCCAGTACTCACATGGTTCCAGTACTCACATGGTTCCAGTGCTCACATGGTTCCAGTACTCACATGGTTCCAGTGCTCACATGGTTCCAGTACTCACATGGTTCCAGTACTCACATGGTTCCAGTGCTCACATGGTTCCAGTACTCACATGGTTCCAGTACTCACATGGTTCCAGTACTCACATGGTTCCAGTACTCACATAGTTCCAGTACTCACATGGTTCCAGTACTCACATGGTTCCAGTGCTCACATGGTTCCAGTACTCACATGGTTCCAGTACTCACATGGTTCCAGTACTCACATGGTTCCAGTACTCACATGGTTCCAGTGCTCACATGGTTCCAGTACTCACATGGTTCCAGTGCTCACATAGTTCCAGTACTCACATGGTTCCAGTACTCACATGGTTCCAGTACTCACATGGTTCCAGTACTCACATGGTTCCAGTACTCACATGGTTCCAGTACTCACATAGTTCCAGTACTCACATGGTTCCAGTACTCACATGGTTCCAGTGCTCACATGGTTCCAGTACTCACATGGTTCCAGTGCTCACATGGTTCCAGTGCTCACATGGTTCCAGTACTCACATGGTTCCAGTGCTCACATGGTTCCAGTACTCACATGGTTCCAGTACTCACATGGTTCCAGTACTCACATGGTTCCAGTACTCACATGGTTCCAGTACTCTCTCGACCCCGGGCCGGTCTTGTTGTTGGGGGAGTCGGTGATGACGAGCTTGTTGTTGTACGCTGAGAGCACTCGCGAGAAGGGGTTGCGCACAAACGTGAAGCGGAACAGGTCCGGCCGCGTCATTGCCCGCACCTGGGGTTTGGGCAGGCAGGCGGGGGCGAGGGAGGAGAGGGGGGAGTTTGGGTGGAGAGGGAGGTGTTGGGAGGCGAGGGGAGTGAGAGAGAGAGGGGAGGAAGATATGCTTGGAAGTGGACTGTGGACACATGGGTTGTTTGCACATGTGGGCAGGAGAGGATTGCGGCTTCTGCGGCAGCAAAGGTGTAGAGATGGGTGGAGCGGCTGAGTGAAGGCGAGTGGTGCGCGGGGAGAGGCTGAGAAGGGGCAGGTGGAAGGAAGGGTGGCGACGAGGGAGAGCAGTGCAGAGAATTGCACTCTCTTTGCCACACGGTGGGGACACACGCGAATCGCAAGTGCTCGCCGCACATGGGAGAGTTCAGAGCGCACGTGGCAGCACACTCACGGCCTGCTTCTCAGTGAAGTGCACGTGCAGCATGTGCCAGCCCGCCCTGTCATCGTCCAGCGCCAGCAGCGGGTCCTCTGGGTGCGGCTGCCCCAGCATGGCGCGCAGCCACATGAGCCACGAGTTGGCCGCCACCTTGGGCACCGTGCAAATGAACAGCTTCAGCTTCTCTGGTGGGCGTGGGGGATGCGATGGGGAGAGATACTGAACGATTCAGTGCAGTCCATGGCGCCCACCTGCCAATCACCTGCCAATCACCTGCCAATCACCTGCCAATCACCTGCCAATCACCTGCCAATCACCTGCCAATCACCTGCCAATCACCTGCCAATCACCTGCCAGGGCCCTCACCTTCCACCATGGTGAACATGGACCACTTCTGCTTCGTGATTGGCCGGATCTCATGCCGCCCGCACACGGACACGTGCAGGCGAAAGGACGGCAACCGCCGGGCGGCCTGGGCGGCAATGAAGCGCGGCTCGAGCGCGCTGCTGTTGACCGCCACCAGCCCGGCTGCCAGGCTGAGAGAAAAGAGCTCCGAGACCTGGGGAACGAGAAGTGAGGGGAGAAGAGGAGGGGGAGTGGGGGAAGGTAGGGGGAGAAGTGGGGAAGGAGGCTCCAAGGCGCTGCTGTTCACCGCCACCAGCCCTGCTGCCAGGCTGAGAGAAAAGAGCTCCGAGACCTATGGGAGGCGGGGAAGGGAAAGGAAAGGGGAGCAGTGGAGGGGGGGGATGAGGGAATTGAGGGAAGGAGGGGGGAGGGCGCTGCTGTCGACCAGCGCCCCTGCTAGGTTCAATGAGAAGAGCTCCGATAGCTGTGGAAGGAGAACATGGGCGGGACGAGCTCCGATAGCTGTGGAAGGAGAACATGGGCGGGACGAGCTCCGATAGCTGTGGAAGGAGAACATGGGCGGGACGAGCTCCGATAGCTGTGGAAGGAGAACATGGGCGGGACGAGCTCCGATAGCTGTGGAAGGAGAACATGGGCGGGACGAGCTCCGATAGCTGTGGAAGGAGAACATGGGCGGGACGAGCTCCGATAGCTGTGGAAGGAGAACATGGGCGGGACGAGCTCCGATAGCTGTGGAAGGAGAACATGGGCGGGACGAGCTCCGATAGCTGTGGAAGGAGAACATGGGCGGGACGAGCTCCGATAGCTGTGGAAGGAGAACATGGGCGGGACGAGCTCCGATAGCTGTGGAAGGAGAACATGGGCGGGACGAGCTCCGATAGCTGTGGAAGGAGAACATGGGCGGGACGAGCTCCGATAGCTGTGGAAGGAGAACATGGGCGGGACGAGCTCCGATAGCTGTGGAAGGAGAACATGGGCGGGACGAGCTCCGATAGCTGTGGAAGGAGAACATGGGCGGGACGAGCTCCGATAGCTGTGGAAGGAGAACATGGGCGGGACGAGCTCCGATAGCTGTGGAAGGAGAACATGGGCGGGACGAGCTCCGATAGCTGTGGAAGGAGAACATGGGCGGGACGAGCTCCGATAGCTGTGGAAGGAGAACATGGGCGGGACGAGCTCCGATAGCTGTGGAAGGAGAACATGGGCGGGACGAGCTCCGATAGCTGTGGAAGGAGAACATGGGCGGGACGAGCTCCGATAGCTGTGGAAGGAGAACATGGGCGGGACGAGCTCCGATAGCTGTGGAAGGAGAACATGGGCGGGACGAGCTCCGATAGCTGTGGAAGGAGAACATGGGCGGGACGAGCTCCGATAGCTGTGGAAGGAGAACATGGGCGGGACGAGGGGGGGACGGGGGAAGTCAGCTCTAAGGCGCTGCTGTTCAGCATCGTGCAAAACATGGCAAACCCACCCGCAGCTAAAGGCACCGCATTCAACCCACCTGCAGCTGATGGCACCGCATCAGAGTCTCATCAGACACCTCCAATCTCCGAACCACTCTTCTCACTCTCCTCCTTCGCAACCCTCCCCCTTCCCTCCTCTCCCCCTCCTGCCCCATCCCCTCCCCTTCCCTCAACACCTCTCCCCCCACCACATCCTCCTCCCCACTCCCCACCTTCTCCCCTCCCTCTCCCTCCTCCACCTCAACCTCCTCCTCCAGCTGACACGTGGCAATGCGCGATTGGGTGGCTTGGAGCAGGAGCGGGGAGCGGGCGGGGGGGAAGTAGTCCATGATTTGGGGCACGTGGGCGGGCGAGTGGGCGGCGAGGGTGAAGGAGACAGCGCGGTCGGCCAGGTAGGTCATGGCGATGCGGCGCATGGCGCACATGGGGGGCGAATACTCCGACTCCTCGCTGCACCCCGCACAGCCTGAGGGGCCGAGAGGCTGGGGAGTGGGAAGTGGGGGGTGGGGAGGTGGCAGTGGGGGAGTGTGGGAAGGGGAGGGGGAAGGGGGGAGGTGGGACGCGGGAATGGGGAGTGAGAGTGAGGGATGAAGAATTGGGGGAGGGGAATGGGGAGAGGAACAGGGAAAGAGGAGCAGGGGAAAAGGGATGGGAAAACAATGGTGGTGATTGGGGGAGTGGAAGCGATACATGGGACACGGTGGAAAATGGCTTCGGGGTGGCAGGCAGGGAGAACAGCTCAAGGGCAGGACGGGTTGATTTGTTGCATACGTATTGGCAGGGTGATGGAGGGTGGAGACGAGGATTCGAAACGGAGAGCAGGAAGTGAATCGCACGAAATTTGATTGCAGGGGTGTGGAGGTGAGCAACGAGATAGGGCAGCCCGAGGCCATTGGGAAGTGCATGTGCATGAGGGGAAGCTGCCATGCCATGCCATGCCATGGCATGCCATGGCACCATCACACAGCGCATGCAAGCACGGGTGCATGGTGCAGCATGCAAGAGCGTGGCAGCATGAAGTCCCGCACATCAACATAGAAGGCAGTGGAGGTGGCGAGGCGGTGCACGTCCTCCCTGAGCACCAGCGCCGCCACCAACGGGGACGGCTCCAGGGCGCCCAGACACTCGTCCACCCGCCGCTCATACTCGCACCCCTCCACCTCCACCCTCCCTTGCGCCGCCCTTGCGCCTTCGCCCTGGCCCCCCAGGAACAGACCCGCCCCCCCTCCCTCGCCCTCCGCCGCCCCTGCTGCTGCTGCTTCTACTCCATGTGCTGGCGGTGCGTGTGGGGTGTGAGGTTGAGCAGCAGCAGAGTGGGGTGCGAGGAAGAGGTGCGGGGGAGGAGGCAGGGAGCGGGAGGACGACCTGCCCCTGCATGGCCGCAGCACCACCTGCCCTTGGCGATGGGGATGGGGATGGCGATGGGGATGGGGATGGGGATGGGGATGGCGATGGGGATGGGGATGGGGATGGCGATGGGGATGGCGATGGGGATGGGGATGGGGATGGGGATGGCGATGGGGATGGCGATGGGGATGGCGATGGGGATGGCGATGGGGATGGCGATGGGGATGGGGATGGCGATGGGGATGGGGATGGGGATGGGGATGGGGATGGGGATGGGGATGGGGATGGCGATGGGGATGGGGATGGGGATGGCGATGGGGATGGGGATGGGGATGGCGATGGGGATGGCGATGGGGATGGGGATGGGGATGGGGATGGCGATGGGGATGGCGATGGGGATGGCGATGGGGATGGCGATGGGGATGGCGATGGGGATGGGGATGGCGATGGGGATGGGGATGGGGATGGGGATGGGGATGGGGATGGGGATGGCGATGGGATGGGGATGGGGATGGGGATGGGGATGGCGATGGGGATGGGATGGATGGGATGGGGATGGGGATGGGGATGGGGATGGGGATGGCGATGGGGATGGGGATGGGGATGGGGATGGGGATGGGGATGGCGATGGGGATGGGGATGGCGATGGGGATGGGGATGGGGACGGGATGATAGCGATGGTGATGCATGAGCGCCCAAACACGAGCTTTGCAGAGGGGAAGGCAACGGGAGGAGGGGCACGGGAGGAGGACGGGAGGAGGGGTGTGGGAGGAGGACGAAGAAATGACACGAGCAAGGCATGACATCAGGAGTAGAGCATTTGAGATGGAACATAAAACACGGGCACTGCCCTCTCACCCGCACCGCCCTCATGCCTCACCTGCTGCTGCGGCGTGGAGGCCAGTTGCGCCTTCAGCGCGTCGCTGCGCACAGGCAGGTCGCGCACCCACACCCCGCCCTCCCCCCCGCTCACTCCCCACCCCTCCGCCCCCTCCCCTCCGCTGCTGCTACTGCGGCTGCTGTTGGGCGCGGGGGGGGCGGAAAAGAGGTGGCGGAAGGTGGTGGCGGGCAGGTGGTGGTCGGCGGGCCAGAGGGCGAGCGTGGGCTTGTTAGTGAGCGCCGTCAGCGCATACGCCGCGCACACCGCGTGCACACGCTCCGATAGAGAGCCCTGGGGGGACGGACGGACCGGGGGGAGGGAAAGGGATGGGAAAGCGAGGGTGGTGGGTAGGGGGGAAGAGGGAAGGGGGAGGGGGGAAGGGGTGTGGGTGGGGAAAGGTGGGGCGTGGGGATTTGAAGAGAAGAGAATGAGCGTGAGTGCGTAGTGGTGAAGGTCCGCATGGTCCTACAGTCTACACTGCATGCACGCGCTGCTGCAGCGCGCCTTGGGGAAGGGGGAGGGAGACAGTGGGGGAGGGAGGAGGGGGAGCGCGGGGGGGAGGTGGGTTGGAAGAGGGTACAGGAAAAGGTAAGCGACTAAATTAGGGGCTAGAGAGTATGACACGCTGGGGCACTGGCACCGGCACGCGCACGCACACGCGCTGGCAGCGAGCCCTGGGAAGAGAGGGCGAAGCGGGGAGGGAGCCGTGGGAGCGAAGGGGAAGCGGTCGGGGAAGGTTAAGAGAGAGAGGTCATTTGAGAGAGGGGGTCATGGGAGAGAAGGGGTCATGGGAGAGAAGGGGTCATGGGAGAGAAGGGGTCATGGGAGAGAAGGGGTCATGGGAGAGAAGGGGTCATGGGAGAGAAGGGGTCATGGGAGAGAAGGGGTCATGTGAGAGAAGGGGTCATGGGAGAGAAGGGGTCATGGGAGAGAAGGGGTCATGGGAGAGAAGGGGTCATGGGAGAGAAGGGGTCATGGGAGAGAAGGGGTCATGGGAGAGAAGGGGTCATGGGAGAGAAGGGGTCATGGGAGAGAAGGGGTCATGGGAGAGAAGGGGTCATGGGAGAGAAGGGATCATGGGAGAGAAGGGGTCATGGGAGAGAAGGAGTCATGGGAGAGAAGGGGTCATGGGAGAGAAGGGGTCATGGGAGAGAAGGGGTCATGGGAGAGAAGGGGGAGAAAAGGAAGTAAATGATGGGGTGAAGGATGATGGGGGATGGACGGGAGGCGGATCATGTTTGGGAACGGCATCAGCGCAGAGCGCATCGCAGCGCAGCGCGCATTACAGCGCAGTGCGTTCCTCAGCGCAGCGCGCACCTCTGCAAGAATCACCGCGGCGGCATGGGCGCATTCGTTCCCCCCACTGCCGTCCGCGCACCTCCACGGATCCACCTCGCCCGCCCTCCCACCATCCCCGATATACGCGTCTTCGCTACCATCTGCAAGATACCCGCTCAGTTCCCCCGTCTCGCCGCTCGCTTTCCACAGATTCGCGATTTTCTGCGACGCTTTGAGCAGCGCCTTGCCGTTGAGAACCGTGAAGTCGCTCTTGTCGCGCGACAGGCTCCAGTGCGACAGCCCGGCGACTGTCGAGGAGAAGCGGCGGGAGCAGCCATTGCAAGAGGCGAGGCCGCTCGCCGCTGCCGTGCGTCTTCCGCTTGCCGAGCGTGATCGTGTGAGTCATTGGCAGGAAGAGTGCGCGACGCGTGTGCGACGCGTGTGCGACACGTGTGTGGCTCGCGTGTGACGCGAGTTAGTATGGCTATGCAAGTACGAGATTCGCCTCCTCCTGGCAAAACTATTACGCACGACGTTAATTTGGCGCCGTGAGGTGAGTTGGGCTGGTAACGCGTCTACTCCGCTATGAGAACGCTGACGGGAACGCGAACGCACATACTGATGAGTGGCTGCCGACAGCGCAGCGTGCTACGCGTTTGATACTGAGACTGAGCTCTACTCGCCACGCAAGTCTACTCGAAACGCAAGTCTACTCGCCACGCATGACTACTCTTCACGCAAGTCGAATCTACTGGCCATCCTGTCCCACCACCACCGAGGCACCACGGTCACGAGCTGTTGGGATTCGGGCGCTGCGCGGTCGGGAGCAATTCACGCAAACGCACGTCGACCGGGACTGAAAGGGCCTGTAAGCGGTACCCTAGCGCATATCCTAGAGCGCGCAACGGTCGTGATCGTCGAGCTCATCGGAATACTTGTTCGTCGGATGCAATCGGTCGGAGCATCCGTCCCGGCATTTTTCGGCATGTATAAAACCTACACCCATATTTCGGCATTTTTCTAACAGCCAAGGGGATTCTTGGCGTCGATGTTTACCTCCCGGCAATCTGTTTCTCTCCCTCCATGCTGTCTGCTTTCTATAGCGGCCATTCTTTCTAGACGTCTCTGGTCTGACCTGCTCTCATTCTGACAGGCTTACAGTACATGTCTCGTCGAGCTTCAGTTATGGCAGTACAGCCACTGCTGGAAATCTCGCGCCAACCGCCATACCAACCAACACCCCCTTGACTTGGCAAGCTGGCATCCACCAATCTCTCATACCTAGGGGCACGCTCGGCTTGATTCGAGGCTTGAGCTGGTTTGATCTGGATGTAGGTTAGGAAGGAACGAGATGATTGGTTGTGGGGGAGGTTACGCAGGTGAAGGTGGGGGCATCCCGAAGGCGCCTCGCTCGGTCCTTCCGGAGCGGGGCGGCGGGTCAGCGCCAGCTGCGAGTGTGGCCCTGATGGACGGAGCGCGGCAGGGGCTTCGCGGAGATGTTGGCGCTTGGTGTGGGGCGTGGCGTGGAGGAGCCTCGGTTGTTGCGGTCCGTTCCGTACACCTAGGAGCATCGAGAGAGATTCGAGAGGAGCCGCCCAAAACCCAAGATGTTTCGCCCCGCCCGAGACACCAAGCCTGACAGGCATGGGATAACGAACCGAGCAACTCATACTGACAAACTTGTAAATCCGCAGGGCCGCACAACCGCACGGTGTAACAAAGTGTGAGCACAATACCTGTAATGAATTAGAATTCATTACTATAGAGGCTGCTCCTAGCGAGGACATCCCGAACAGCTCGAGTTAGTTTGGGTTCGGCCTACACTTCGGCCCGAACCACATTCCGAGTCGCTCCGCACCAATCGCGCCATTTCGAACCCTCGTAAATCACGAGGTTCTCACCTAGCACGTATTCGCCTTATAAATGCTCGCTTTCTTCATTGTATCGTCATTCTGTATTCACGCCATTTTTATAAAGTCTTTCGCGCACTCTGTTTAATACTGTTGGGCTGAGAAAAGCCCTTAGGATCTTTGCAGGACTAAACTCTGAGTAGGAACAATGTAGTAGCGGAAGCGTTTAATGATAAGTCTGTGAACCACCTTGCGCTGGTATGTGAGGGCAAAGTAGATTGATTAAAGCAAAGGGATACAGACTTTTATAAGAGTACAAGGGAATATGAAAGGTTATAGCTAACAACTGTTTTGCTGTTGCTGTTGCGGTTCGATACAGTGACGACTCGGGCAACTGTTCAATAACGAGTCAGTTGTTTGTCCTTGCTGTCGCGCTGTACTTGTCAGGTCAAAGGTCGCTGACCTTTGACTTTCGCATAACCTCCAGCAGTTGTTCAACCTCCGAGGGTTGACTCGCCGATGCTTCGCTGTGCTTTGCTTCGTTTACGACTTGGTGCTTCGACACGACAGAGGCGCTTAAATTACTTGTTTCCAACACTCCCCTTCGCTTCTGGAGTGTCGCTGCTGGTGACGTGGCTCTGTCCAGTCAGCAGCATGCAGTACTCGAACTTCTGCTTTCCGAGTTTCTTGGTCAAGTAATCAGCTGCCATCTCGGACGTGGGGCAGTAAGACAGTTCGAGTCTCCCCTTCTCAATCTCGTCCTTCACGAAGAAATATCGCAGGGCGATGTGCTTCGTCCTGTTCGCGAATCCATTTTTGTTGGCTATGCGAATTGCCGACTGGTTGTCGCAGAACAAGGAGAAGCTGGGTAACTGAGCCAGCTTCGCTTCTTCCAGAAGTTCGCGAAGGTACAGTCCTTCCTTGGTGGCTGAGCAAAGTGCGATATATTCTGCTTCAGCTGAAGAGAGGGCGATTAACTCCTGTTTGCTCGACTGCCACGAGATGGGTCCGATAGGTTCGAAGCGATAGATATAGCCGGTGTGCGAGCGTCTGTTGTCGTAGTCGCCGGCGTGATCGGCGTCGACGTAGCCGATTAACTTAGGTGTCGAGGTTCCGTTCTTGTGATAGGTCAGGCCGATCGTCGGAGTGCTAACGAGGTAGTGAAGAGCGCGGTCGAGCTCCGCCATGTGTTCTGCTTCAGGCCTTTTGAGGTAGGTGGCGAGTTGACTTGCAGAGTACGATAGATCCGGACGGCAGGTGACGGCCGCGAAGAGGAGGCACCCCAGCTTTCTCTTGTAGTCGTGTATGCCCGCGGGCTTGAGCGGAGCGGAGCTTTCCTTGTTATTTCCTGCGGTGTAGCGGTATGGCGTGGAGATGGTGATCGGGGTGAGTCCGAAGCGTTTGGCGATAGTGTCGGCATATTTTGCGGCGTTGAGATAGATCGCGCCTTCCTCTTCCTGGATGTTGAGGCCGAGGTAATGCGTGACGGTTGATGATACTGTGAGAGTGAGGTCCTGCTGCAGCCCCCCTTCAAACCAAGTAGTGATGCTGTCAGTCGAGCCGATGTAGAGCAAGTCGTCCACGTAGACGATTAGTAAGATGTAGTCGTCGCCTTTCGTAAGCCGATACATGCCCTGGTCGTGTGGTAGCTATCGGAATCCGATGCGGACGAATCGAGCGTGTAGATATTGCTGCCACAGTCTTGGGGCCTATTTAATACCGTACAGGGACTTCAGCAGCTGACAGACTTGGTTGGGCTCTCCGTTGGAGCCGTGTGGAAGTTCGACGAAGATTTCGGCGTCAACAGGTGCGTAGAGGAATGCATTGGCGACGTCGATTTGTCGTAGCTTCTTTTTCTTCATGGCGGCGATTGCGAGGAGAATTCGCAGTGAAGTGTGTCGGCTGACCGGCGCGAATGTTTCAGTGAAGTCGCGCCCGTGTTCTTGGTCAAAACCGCGCACGACCCAGCGCGCTTTAAACTTGTCGATGGTACCATCTGCCTTTGTCTTCACACGGAAGACCCATTTTCCGGTGAGTACCGTTTTGTTGCGTGCCACGCCGATGGGAACGACTTTCCAGGTGTTCCGTTCTTCCAGTACTTTCAGCTCCTTGTCCATGGCTTCGCGCCATTTTTCCTTATGCTCCCCCCCCAGAGCCTGCTGA